GACCAAATAGATAAGCCAGAGAAAGTAATATGTTATCCTGTTATACATACTGGAAGATGAGGCTTAACTGATTCACAATAAAGTTGAGGGAGAGCCAATAATTGAACCTTGATATTCTGAGACATTGGCCACTATCTTAACCACAAGATCAACCTTCTTTTTATTGAAGTCTTGCTGTTTCACATCTGTTTTTACAATTGTTCAGCTTATTTATTCTGTTGCTTGACTGATTTTAGGTAACATACTATGTTAGGTATATTATAACCTCACATATTCATGAATAAGAATGAGTTGGATATAGATTTCTGTGTTAAACTACTTGCTTGTGGTTAAGGAACCAGGTTTGATAGAAAGATTTTTGCATTGCCTGCAATGTAAACCATTTTTTTTAGAAAGTCTGTATAATGTAGTTTAAAGAAAAACATTGGAGCACTAGCACAGGTTGATGATAATATTCATGACTGTTAAATAAGAAACGAATTATTAACTTTAAAACAATGTATGATTTAATTGTGCCAGTGTGACGATCTTAGCGTGCTTATTTAGCTCTTCTAAATTACACAGTAGAACCTCAGAGTTACCAACACCAGAGTATGAACTGACCACTCACCCACACACGTAATTTGGAACTGAGAGTACCAGGGGAGGTGATTGCCTGCGCAGGACCTTGGGGCAAGGTGGTGGGGGCCTGGCTATGCGCTCCTGGAAGGGGTGGGGCCTCGGGCAGAAGGGGCAGGGCAGGCAGCCCTTTCCTGGCATGTCCTCCAGCCCTCAGAGCTGCACAGTGTGTGCAACGCAGTGCTCTAATGGTGATTTAAAGGGCCCCGGGGCTCTGGTTGCTGCTGCTGCCACAGTAGCAGTAGTGGTGGCCAGGAACCCCAGGTGCCTTTGAGTCATCAGGCCAGTTACCCCCTTTATCCTCCTGCATCAGCAGGCCTGGGAAGTACATAGACAAGCAGCAGTAGAGACAAAAAAACAAAAACACATTTAATAAAGCAAACACAATAAAGTCCTGCGTTAAATGTAAACTACTTTAAAATAAAGGGAAAGCGGCACTTTTCTTCTGCATACTAATGTTTCAAAACTGAGTTAAGTCAGTGTTCAGTAGTGAAATTTTGAAAGAACAACCTTAGTGTTTTATTTAAGGTTACAAACAGTTCTGCGTTACGAATAACCTCCATTCCTAAGGTGTTCAGACCTCTCAGGTTCCAGAAATCCTGATCAAGCCTATATGTTAATTTCTGTTGATAAATACCTAGTTGTGTCATGTTTGTATTTATATCTATCTGGATGTGCTGTGAAATGTATTATGTGGAAATAACAAACTCCTCCCACCAAACAATGATACTTAATCCTTATAGGTAACATATTAAATCTTCAATGTATTCTATAAATGTAATTTATTCTTCTTCCTCAGTAGTTATTATCCTCATTTTCCAAACAAGTGGTCCTTCCCAAGGTCAAACCTCACATGGTGGTGGAGAGAAGATTAGGGGTTAGGAAGGAGACTCCACACACATTCAAATGGTAAAGAAATAAGAATTAGCATGAACTGTATTTTCCACTTTTTGATTCTTGATACAGAAATGTTTTACCTCTAGTCCCTTTAATCTTTTTTGTCACAGTATGACTTATGCTGTGTTCATTGTTAAACTGCAGGGCTAAGACAATGGAGTTTATGGATAGGTAAGTTGACACCGCTAATTCTAAATAGTAACAAAATTGTAGGTATGTAAAACCAAGATGATCTCATTAAAGTCATAATAAACGCAGAAAGATATCGGAGACCAGATGGAAATCCAAATAGGAAATTCTATAATAGAACATAAAGATGCAAATTACCCGGAGGAGAGTTTTGCTACATTTAAAATGTAGTTCCTTGTGTCATAAAAAAGGCACATACATAAAATACAATCTGTTAAAGTATTTGCATTGAAATCAAAATTATAGCTAAGCAGATGACTGCATTCAGAATCAATGAATATGTATATAATTGTTACCTTTTGTGTGAAGATTCAGTGGTGGTGTAAAACTCAGTTTGTGTGAAATCACAATTTTACTTTTAACATCTTTGTCAGAGAAATATATATGCCAGCAGATTTACCCAGCATTGGTAGTGCGAAAACAGAGAACTAATCCAAATTTCTCCATTGTATCTCTTTTCTGTAAAGTATATTGAGAAGCAGTCCTATTCTAGGTTCATCCTATTTTTCTGGCTCATCTTGGTTCAGTCTCTGTCAACGTTCACTGAATTATGAGGACTGTACTTGTTTGGTGATTCTCTTTTACATTTGGCTTTATGAGAAGCAATTCCATTCCAGGCACATCCTGTTTTCTTGGCATACCCAAAACCTTATGCTGCTTTAAGTTATGATAAGAAGAAGCTGTATACTGAATTTGGTGGTACTAGATCTTACCTTTTACGGTGATCAGAGGGGTAGCTGTATTAGTCTGTAACTTAAAAAAACTTAAAAAATGAGTGGTCCTGTAGCACCTTAGGGTATGTCTACACTACCACCCTAGTTCGAACTAGGGTGGTAGTGTAGACATACCCTAAGGTGCTACAGGACCACTCATTTTTTAAGTTTTTTTAAGTTACAGATTAACCCAGCTACCCCTCTGAGACTTTTTATCTCCATCTGTACTTCCTTGGTTCTTTCTTTATATTTTGGCTGCACCCATTTGAAAGGAGCTATATTGACTCATGTATTGTTGGGACACTCCTAGACTAGCTTGAAGTATGAGTCAGCACAATACACTTCTTCAGATGATGAGTGGAGCAAGAGGCACTCATCTGCTGAAGAAGTGGGTTGTGTCCACGAAAACTCATGATACTATCTATATTTTTGTTAGTCTATAAGGTGCTACAGGACCACTCATTTTTTAAGTTCTTTTAGGAAGAGTTCTTGATCAAACAAACAGGCAAACTCTCTAAAATATATAGTATGTGTATATATATTCACTGTAAATAGAATCATAGGTCACTAGAACTGGAAGGGACTTCGAGAAGTCATCAAGTCCAGTCCCTTGCCCTCACATCAGAACCAAGCCCTGTCTCGATCATCCCTGACAGGTGTCTGTCTAACCTGCTCTTAAATATCTCCAGTGAAGCAGATTCCACAACACCCTAAGCAATTTATTTCAGTGTTTAATCCCCCTGACCAGGCAGAAGTTTTTTCTGATGTCCAACCTAAACCTCCCTTGCTGCAGTTTAAGCCCATTGCTTCTTGTCCTATCCTCAGAGGCCAAGGTGAACATTTTTTCTCACTCCGCCTTATAACACCCTTTTAGATACTTGAAAACTGCTATCATGTTATCATGCTATCGAGACCTTTTATCATTTTTGTTGTTCTTCTCTGGACCTTCTCCAATTTCTCCGCATTGTTCATGAAATCTGACGCCCAGTATTGAGGTATTTTTAAATTGATATGGATCCTGATTTATGTCAATGGCAGTCATTCCATTGACTCCAGTGGGTGTTGGCTTCCATCTTTAATTCTGTTGTGTGCCTGCAGGAGAACCTGGAGATGGTTCTGGGCAGAACCTCTGAAGTTAAGTCCAGAGGGAGAGAGAGCACCTTTAGGTATAGTGCTGTTTTTGTTGTTGGAAGAATGTGACTATAGCTGAGATTGTGTAACATTGTTATATAAGGGAGGGAAACATCAAAGGGGGTGGCCATTTTAAATAGCCCCCTCATATACTTCTCCAAAGCATGGTTGTATTTCCTTATTTAAGTGACTCTTCAATTTGCCATCTTTCAACTCTTGTTCACAAACACACTTTACTTTCTGATACTGGTTCATAGCTCATATATTTCCCTTAGCCATACTTTCGTAGGGCACCCTGCATTTGAAGATTCTCTGGCTGAGGCATTCAAGCGTGCAGGGAGTTTACTTGGTCCCATCATACAGTGCCTACCTGGACTAGAAATGAGGGAGCCCAGCAAAATCTACAAGAGAACTATGAAGTGGGAGACAAAAAGAGTATGTTGTTTGAGTTTCACCCTGGGTGCCATAAAAGGACTAACTCTGGGACCTACTCATCATAAGTCACAAAGGTAGAAGATCAGGAAATAGGAAAAATAAACGCCATAAAATATTCAGATATTGGATGGTATGCATGTTGTCCCATGGTGATATGCCCTGAGAGAGGGTTTATGCTTGTTTATTTCAGCAAAGGATATTGGTGTGCAACATTATGAAAAGTATCAATTATTAAGCACCACATTTTAAATTATTTATATCATTGATAAAAGAAATATTCAAAAATGGCCTGAGTAGCTGCAAATCTTTACCATTTAAAATTCAGCTGATTCTTAGGCACAGAGGGTTAGATCCTTTCTCCTAAGTCCCTTTAGGAGCAATTCAGCAGCAAGCATAAATCCTCTGATGTAGAGTGAATCCCTGTGAGATATAAATCTGGCTTAGTGAGCTCTATGTCACCCACTTCTCTCTCACCTCCAGTTTAGCGTAAGAGGAATCCTGAGTGGGCTGGAGAAAGAATAGTGACATTGGTGATTCCTAGGCCATGGAGAAGACCCTATGGAGACACTCTAATCCATTTACCTCAAAGCATCCTTAGATTGCATTAAATTATGCCAAGAGCCAGTTTTTCTTCCCAGTCAGGCTACACATCAGGCCTTCACATGTCTTAGAATTATCTTTCCTTATCATCATAATTTAATTACACCTAAATTACACCTAACTTAGCCTAGTGATCTCTCCAGGGGGTCAGAAGCCTCAGAAATCAAATTCAGTTTAAAAACAAACCGACATGTACAGCTAAAAATGGCTCGTTTCGTTTGTGGAGGAAGGGGTTGGTGGAGCAGGACATTCATGGTAGTTATCTGAGTGAAAACTGTTTAAGGTAAGTCTGTTTTATGTGGCCAAGTGACAGGCTCAAGTACAGTCGGGCTAAAGCACTGCACACTTGCTACTTACAATTGAACTTGTTTTAGAATATTAATATCATGATGTGGGGAAGACTTGTAATAAGAAAATACCAGATTCAGATGTCTCACTGGTTTAACTTGAAAATACCTCCAGTGAAGTCAACAAAAGTCAATGGAATTCTCCATATTTATATCATGGCAAATGAATATGGAAGCTGGACTGAGTTTAGGGCATTGTGCAACACAGGTACCCTGCTATGGCTTCTATTTTGGCTACTTTCAGTAGCTACAGTTATGGAGATGGGAAGACTACTATTATCTTTTCTTCAGCACAACATTATTTGGCCCATAAAAGTAGAGGATGGCAGTAATGCAGACAGCTATATTTGCACTTTTTCTGCATTTATACAAAATAATCTATTGTGCTGCATGTTGGATTATTTTAGCCTTCTGCTGCTCCAACTAAAAATGAGGGGGACCTGATGTCAAATCCAGGAGTAATGTCTCCAGCAGCAAGACACCCAGCATCTGCATGGCTCTTCAATACCCGTGAATGTTGACTTCTGTATCCTTAAGATGAGTAGGAGTAGCAATATTGCTTTATCAATCTGAAAAAAAATTCAGGATAGGGATAACTTAGTTTGAGTGGCTTGTAGGTTAATTGTGGGCCTGGCTCTGAAGATAAGATTAACAAAAACTACAGGCAGACAGCATTCAATGTTTAAATGACCCTGCCTTTCCCAAAAAGGACATTTGGATACCAGGGGATTTAAAAGTAAAAAGCCTGATTGAGAGATACAATGCAAATAAAAAAGAGGTAGGATTTTACCAGACTAAGTATTTGATTTTAGATATTCTAAACTCTGAAGTCCAGCCAAGCCTAGAAGGCTTTGGGTCCAAGTAGTGAGATTTTATTGCAAGTTTGCAATCTTGGTAGGTTTTTTCTTAAAGGCTCAGCTTCTTGGAATCAGGGGGTTATGTGAAAAAACTAGCTATCATTTCAAAAATAAAAGTTTGTTTCCCTCCCTGTAGTTGTCAAGAAAATATGGACCCTGAAGTTTCAAAATCCAGAAAGCATGCAGAGGACCCAGAGTTTGTTTCTAAATCTCATGACTTTTTAAGCTAAGTGAATGGTTTTTTGTCCTTGCTTATTCTTTTTCAGCAGAGCTGGAAGACAGATACAGAGTAGAATGCTCACACTCCTTATATGAAGTAAGGGAGGAAACTTATTTTGTCTCCAAATAGGACCATTTCATTTCATAACTGCATACAAGCCTAAGCTCTGTTGCCTATTAGAACCAGCCCTGGAGATTAGTCATGGGAGTTTGCAGGATGGGGCTACAAGTTCATAGGTGAACCCAGAGTTGTAGTTAGATTAAATTTAAATACATACAAAGAAAGAGAATTTTGCCTGTGGAAGTTTTATAGCATAATATTGGACTTGCAGCTGTCCATCAGTAAACAGTAATGAGTTCATGTGCTTCAGACCAAACACTGCACAAAGGCAGGATTTCACTTCAATCGGAGCCACCTGGGAACATGCAGGGCAGAACTATGTCCTTGGGTGGGGGGAGGGGACTTTAAAATCTGTTTTGGTTTTAAATCAGGCTTTTTCATCTCTTCCTCTGTTTACTTTGATAATCCATTTTCAGCACTTTTACAGTTTCTCTGTTGAGAGAGATTAAAGCTGTGATAAGCAACATCACTAAATAACTTGCATTCTTTAAATAATAATTGCTCTTGAGGGAATTCAAAGTGTTTTCATTCATGTGATTATTGTAGGTTTTTGCTTTAAATCAATAAGTAGTTTCATCAACCACATAACACTTTTTGGTAGAGTTCTTAAACAGTAATATGGCTGAAAATTCTATTTCTATACAAAGAGCCAGACATCATATATGTGTGTCCTTTCATCCCTTAAGAACATAAGAACATTAGAATGGCTGTACTGGGTCAGACCAAAGATCCATCTAGCTCAGTATCCTGTCTGCCGACATTGGCCAGCACCAGGTGCCCCAGAGAGAGTGGACCGAAGACAATGATCAAGCGATTTGTCTCCTGCCATCCCTCTCCAGCCTCTGACAAACAGAGGCCAAGGACACCATTTTATCCCCTGGCTAATACCCTTTTATGGACCTAACCGCCATGAAATTATCTAGCTTCTCTTTAAACTCTATTAGGGTATGTCTACACTAACCACCTAGTTCGAACTAAGGTGGTAATGTAGTCAACTGGAGTTGCAAATGAAGCCCGGGATTTGAATTTCCCGGGCTTCATTTGCATGTTGCCGGGCGTCGCCATTTTTAAATGTCCGCTAGTTCGGACTCCCTGCCTGCAGCTACACGCGGCACGAACTAGGTAGCCTAGGAAGCCTAGTCCGAACTACATAGTTCGTGCCGCGTGTAACCGCGGGCACGGAGTCCGAACTAGCGGACATTTAAAAATGGCGGCGCCCGGCAACATGCAAATGAGGCCTGGAAAATTCAAATCCCGGGCTTCATTTGCAACTCCGGTTGACTACATTACCACCGTAGTTCGAACTAGGGTGGTAGTGTAGACATACCCTTTTAGTCCTAGCCTTCACAGCCTCCTCGGGCAAGGAGTTCCACAGGTTGACTACACGCTGTGTGAAGAAGAACTTTCTTTTATTAGTTTTAAACCTGCTACTCATTAATTTCATTTGGTGTCCTCTAGTTCTTCTATTTAGGGAACTAATAAATAACTTTTCTTTATCGGCCCTCTCCACACCACTCATGATTTTATATACCTGTATCATATCCCCCCTTAGTCTCCTCTTTTCTAAACTGATAATAATTCTTCTAATAATTGTTCTAATAGTTGTTCTTAACATACGGAATTGTAATCATATTTCAGACCTATAGAACAAGCAACCAGAGGGGTTACAGAAAGCTGAGATTCTCAATGCATGCATACTGATAACTTACATTAATACTAATCAGAATTACATATTGGCAAATGTATTGAAAAGAGAGTGGTATTTTTGCTTGGTGTTAGATTAAATGTACCCAGTTTCATGTATTAAACTAATAGGCTGCCATCTTAACATAATATGAGAAAAGAAGAAAGGGAACAAGCTGTGGTGATGGTCTAGAATGGTTTTCACTTCTAGGTTTTTGCTTCGTGTTATTCTTTGCTCTGTTTGGGGGATCATGACACCACCTAATAAGCAAATGAATTATTGATGATATGAACCAGGAGTGTGAGGCAGAGTTGTCTAGTAGACAGAAGTTAAAATTCCTAGGTTCTATTCCAAACAACCACCATGTGCCACAGGTTATACTTTTATGAACACTAATCCTTTAGTTGTACAGGCTGGATGTCACTGGTCTGGCACCCTCAGGACCTGACTGGTCCTGAACAAAGGGATTTGCCAGACCAGGGAAGGTTCTTCCCCTCATAGCCATGCTGCCACCAGGCTGGGGCTCCAGCCTATCCTTGCTGCTGCCTGGGGCTCTCCCCAGCCCTGCTGCTGCCAGGGCTGGAGTGCCACAGCCAGAGCTGCGCAGCCGGGGCAGAGCTCCACAGCCGCCTGGCTCCGCGGCTGGGGATGGAATTCCCTGCCTGTTGCTGGGACTGGGGCTGGAGTTTCTAGCTGCTGGAGCCAGAACACTGCTAGAGCTCCACAGCTGGGGAAGGGGCCAGAGCTTCCTGGCTGCTGCTGGAGTCGGAACTCCCTGGCCAGGGCTGTTGGGACCAGGGAGCTCCACTGGGGCCAGTCCTCCCTGCCATGCCATCCATCTTCCCCCTTCCCATCGCCCATGCTCTGGGCTCCTGGCTGAGTCACTGGTGCCCTTTACGACACTCCTGCCCCACCACCGGACCTCCCTCTTCCTGGGTTTTCTGGTCCAGGAACGTCAGTGGCCCATGCTGGAACATGGATGTTGGCAGACCAGAGAGTCCCAGTTAAGGGAGGTACAACCTGTACTTAATCATCTTTCAAAGGTGTACTAAGGCTGGATTTAAGTTTGCAGTGCCATGAAGTCATTGGATGAAAGCTGTCATAGAAGTGCAAGATGGTGATGATTCAATATAATTGAGAGAACAGGAGGGTGTGGTAATACTTTTCAGCATATGGTGAAAAAGGTGGCAATAGCACAGTGGTTTTCAAAGTTGTATCACGGTCCCACCAGGTAAGCTGCTGTTGGACCCATACCATTTTGGTATATCTAAGTGTCTGTAGCTATGGAACCTCGTAGCTATGGAGTCTCTTGTGGCTGTAAATGGTGAACTGCAGCCAATAGGAGCTGCACGGCTCCATGGCTCCAGACACTTAGATAAACAAAACAGTGCAGGCCTGCCAGCAGTTTACCTGTGACCCAACTTTGAAAACCTCTGAACTAGAGTAATAAGATCACATTCAGATTTGGTTGGGGAAGTGACACAAAGTCAGATTTGTGAAAATGGCCCATCGCTAGCTGAATCATTTGTGCTATATGTGTTTATCAGATAGTAAATGGTAAATTATACACATATACAAGTCCAAAATCTTGTTTCCAAGAAGCAGTAATAACAGGTCAGACCAAATCAATTTGAAGACTCACTAGACCAGTTAGTTGGTGTAAATTTGCATAGTTCCATCTGAAGATCTGGACCACAAAATGGATACAGTTCAGAAAATAAAAAGCTAAAGTTTGCTAAGGATTAATCTTTTAAAGTTGGGTACAAGTGATACCTTTTTTGTTCATTTCTGGAGATTTCACATTCCTGAAATTTAGTCAAAAGGCTCATATTCAAAATATGGAATAGCATGCATTTTCAAACTATAAAGACATCTTTGTTTGGGTATGTCTACACTTGCAGGTTATTTTGAAATAGGGCTGCAAATGTAGGCATTTGGAATTGCAAATCAAGCCTGGGATTTAAATATTCCGCGCTTGATTTGCATCTTCCCAGCCGGGCCCCATTTTTTGAAATTTACAAGTCCTGAATAACTGCCTGCATCTACATGCGGTAGTGAAATGGGCGTTCGAAATAAAGCCCTATTTCGAACTACTTGTTAAACCTCATTGCAGGAGGAATAACAGGTAGTTCAAAATAGGGCTTTATTTCAAACACCCGTTTCACTGCTGCGTGAAGACATGGGCAGTTATTCCGGGCTTGTAAATTTCAAAAAATGGCGCACAGCCGGGAGGATGCAAGTCAAGCATGGGATATTTAAATCCCAGGCTTGATTTGCAATTCCAAATGCCTACATTTGCAGCCCTATTTCAAAATAACAGAGATTTTCACCTGAAGCAGTTTTGCTTGAAAATGGGCATTTTATAGTCAAAATGGGTAATACATTCAAGAGATCAATGATTTAATATCAGAAGAGACTATTTTCATATAGTCTGACCTTCTGATTAACACATGCCAGAGAATTTCACAAAGTGGTTCTTGTATCAAGACTCTGACTTCTGGTTGACCAAAAGCAAAGAAATCTGTTTCCATCCTGGACTCTTGAAGGCAGATTTGAACACACAGGCCTTCATTTTAGTAATTTTCCACTGCAAGTGTTTTGCATAATAACTTTGTTAAAAGCACAAAGCTGGTCCCCCACCAAAGAACTACCAGTGATGGATATATGCTGGAGAACTCTCACCTATAACAGGAATGTGTTAAGAGTTTAAGGAAGAGAGAAACAGTGGTGAGATGCCCTTTCCCTAGAGAAACACACAGAAAGGACCAGAGAGCATTGAACTCTCTTTAAGGTTTCATCTGTTGGAAGTTTTAGGACATTTATCCTAATGTGAGGGGAATGGCATGGGGCACTGATGGGCTGATCTATTTCCTGTTGAAGTCAGTGTAAAGGCTTCCTAGTGACTTCAGTAGGCATTGGAAGAGTCCCCAAGTGACCACTAAATGACACCTAATAACAAGGGAGGTGTGATGTGGTATGCAAACCCCATACTGAAAAAGGAGTTAAAAAGCTGCAGTTGGCCTAGGTGGCCCCTACCTCACCACAGATGCAAAAGCCTAAACAGCCAGAAAGAGGAGCTTAAAAGAAGGGAAGCAGAGTAGCTCAGTGTCAGGTAGACAGTGGTGGTGAGTTAAACTACACTCTGAGCTCCTGGGAAGGAGGTCTTGCTCTCTGGTGACTAACAGTGATCTGACTATGTCTGCAAAGGGAGCGGTGACTCTTTATTCTATATTCATTTCTTATCCTGTGGAAAGAGAGGGCACTGATAGGAAGTGATCCAGAGAGGCAGTTACATATGACCAGAGGTTGCAGGGCATAGCTCCTTACCGCTGGGCTCTGGTTCAGATTCTGGTAGAGAAAATGGGCCAAGTCTCCCCTATCAACAAACTATGAAAACCCAGCATTTGGCAAGGAACCTAAGTGATGGAAAGCCCTGAAGATACAAAAATCATGAGATGCAGCCCAAGAGGGAAGCCCAAATTCCTCAGTTGATCCTGAAGACCACTCCATTTTTGAATTCTCTATTTAAACCCTGAAAGGGAGATGCAGTGTTATGCTTGAAAGAACACTATTCTTGGAGGCTAAGAAAAAGCAGCACTGGTCGGAGGAAAGCATTATATGCAAATGTTAAAGATTAATTACCTGCATCCTGTCTAATCTTACTCAAAAGCTCTCCCAGTGCAGCTCTTAACATCTAATCAAATGTTAAGCGAATGAGATGGGAGCTGATTTATTGAATGAACAGTATGTTTATTTCCATGCTACTTGTTTCTACTTTGCGACTGTCCATTTCATTTAAGTATTTTTTTCAATAAATGTCAGTTTCACTGGACACATACACAAGCCAATGAAAAAATATTCCCATCCATAACCAAAATTTACAGATAAACAAAATAATAAAGATATTGCTTAAGAATGTATTAGCTATTTTGACAGTATGAAAATTTTAGTCAATAAAAATCTAAAAAAGCTTAATAATAAACTTTGATATTATTTGTCAAATTCATAAAAACCATTGAATTCTTCCACGCCTTAATTTTATTCCAGGCTGCTTTATTTTGAGGTGCTATAGTGGCACATTGAGAATGTTTTAAAAACTGTAAGTAAAATCCATTTATTCATGCAGGAATATTGATGATCTAGCATCTTTTTCAAAAACCCTGTCAATCCATTACTAGCTTTGAGCCATCGGCAGCTTTTCCCCCAACGGTCTGTTGGACTGTACTGCACACCTATCCATCTTCAGTGGTCATTTTCTACAATGATCCAACTACTCACATATATGTCTCATGACAACGTTCGTTATTTTCATCTCTACATCTGATTTGACCAAAATTCATAAGTTTGTACTTGATTTCCAACAACAGGATCTGTTTCTCTCCATTAATATTTCTAAACCAAGGATTCATCTTTTCCATTCAATAGATATGTTAGAGTCTTTTGCAGCACTACAGCTCACAGGCTTTTGTTTTCTTCTTGTCGGTAGCATTAACTTCCTACAATTCACATGCATATTACACTGTGGAGAAAATTAAACTTTTTACCAGATGAATCTTCATACATATTGAGATGCCAAGTTTTTTCCAAACTTTTGTAAAGGAAGCCATGACTGAGCAAGCCATTCCTAGTCATCTTCCAATTTGTTTGGAACAATTTCCTTGGTTGGATATGTATGACCACAGATAACTTAAATAATCTGCTGTCTCTACAGTTTGACTGTTAATCATGTCTGTTTCTATCTTTTTTTGTAAATCATGTTAATGTTTATACGTTTCATTTCTCATTATCCGATTATCAGGGATAATCATATTCCTCGACAATTTCATTTTGCAGATTCTTATTTTCATTGCATTGCATCAGTAGTTTTAGCCAAGTGTATTGTTACATCAGCATATCTGAAGTTGATTCAGAGGTGCCCAATGGTGGAAATCCCAGCTGTTTCAACCTTGTCAAAACTTTCCAGGGATATGCAGAAAAAGGCTTGGGGCAGAATTTACCTTTAACTCATAGCCTGTCCCACTGAAAATAGATTGCTGTCACCTGATATTGTTTGTATCGTGGTCTGTTGTTGTGGTCTGTTATTGATGGTGGAGACTTGTGATAAGTTCAGTGAAGTGTTTTGGATGCCCCATTATTATCAGTATCTTTCACAGAACCATAGCTCATCTCAAAGTGAAACCATCCCGGAAAAAAGAAGTGAGCTGTAAAATACTTAATCAATATATCCAATATAGGAACATATTTGTTGCCATTCTCCTACCATTGTCATCAGTTAGTCTGATATCCTGTCTGGGAATGACCAACCGACATGCCTCAGTCTCTCAGTTAAAAATGAAATTGTGCTTTATAGTGACACTTATAAGTTGAAGATCAAACTATTTCCATTACTATTGGAAATTAATTGTATGCAACAGTCATATCCAACAGAGTCACCTGAATTTCCATGTCAGAGGAAATTCCAACATTTTGAACTCTTTTTATTTTCATTCTGAATCTGAATGAAAAGCTGATATTTTGACTTTTTTTCAGAATGGAAATTCTGGAAGAATCAATTTGGAAACACTGAAAAATAATTGGATAGAATATTTCAATGTTATAACTTATAACATTAAATATAGTATGTAATAAACAATATATTAAAATTAATGTGATTTAATATAGGATATTCAGTAATATAAATAAGAATAAAAATGAGAGTCAAAACAATTCATTTTTAAACTTTTCCATTCCAAAATTAACAGTCACATGGAACATTTTGATTTTGAGGAAACTTTATTTCTTTCAAAATATATTCAACCATTTCTGATACCTGCCTTGCTGGCTTTTACAGTGTACAAAATATGCAGGGAATTGATCACATTATTAAACTAACTTCCCCTTCTATAGTATGTATTAGACATAAAAAGTGAGAATAAGCATAACATTTCCTCTTAATTCATGTACTGCTGGTATATTACAGTGCTTTATTACTGAAAAAATAGAACGTTGTCATGAGACATATATGTGAGTAGTTGTAGCAATACTTAGCTTTCCAAATAAAAAAATAAGAGACTTGGAAATTCCTGAAAATCTTCAATTTCTATGATGCATTTCACTCTTATGCACAGTATCTAAAGTCTTTCTGAAAAGACCCATCTCTTTTGACTCTAATTTGAGACCAAAATGTTTGGATGTTAGCACGCTTTCAAATGTGTCCTAATAAAAAAGTTTGTTTTTACCTCACCGTCATCCTTCCATAAATATTACAGTAACAACTCTGAAACAAAGTTCATCACCTTTTTTGGATTGCAGACTGTAATAAGAAGAGAGCTAATCTATGAACAAGTTTTTCTTTGTTTACACATACAGCATGAATCAATATCTTCACTTTGAGTCCTGCCCACATCCATCTGTAAAACAAGTTGTCATTCACATCCTGGCTGATAGAGCTATAAAAATTTGTGAACTGGAAAATCTTGAATTAGAATTTACTCATCCTCCTTGTCTACTCGTACTTTCCCTAGATGTCTGAAAAATCGAATTACTGAAAGCAGGTGACAGTCTGTTCCACTTTTTACCTCAGAGAAACTGAACCCTATTAATCATACTGTCTGCCCTGTTTTCTTTGTGCTGCAGATAAAACCTGAAGATAAACAATGATCACTTTTTTCCATTTTCCAGTACTCAGGTGAAAAACTCTATCATGCTACAGGACAAGAGATGCCCTGATGTTAATGTTTCTCTTTGTATTTTGGGCAAACTTGTGATTAATTTTAGATTTATTTAAAGGAACATCATGTGTCCATTCAAATAGAACAAAAAGCTAAATCTATCTATAGTCTAGTATGCTGGCAAGAGACATGCACTACTTTACTTATAATTGAAGGGCTTATTATTTAAAAAACACATATAGTACAAGGAAAGATGCGCTGCAGAGCATTGAGGTTCTGCTTCATAAAAAAGCTATCACAATGGAAGTAGTCTAAGTAAAATTGGAAACTCGTTTTTAAATGAGTGCTTGACCTAGTGAATAAACAATAGATAGCATCTGCCTATTACATCATCACTTTGTAATTAGATTTATTACAGCTGTAAATTCTTTGGTTTAAGATAAGTGGAGTATGTGCTGTGTTTTTAATTGGATTATATATCCTGCTGAGTTCACTGATGCATTTGAGCTTCTGTTGTCCTGTTGATGTTGGAGATACTTCCAACAAAAGAACTGCTGAGCACTGCTATATTTCAAACTTATTTGATTGCAGTAGATAGACTCATAGACTTTAAGGTCAGAAGGGACGATTATGATCATCTAGTCTGACCCCCTGCACAGTGCAGGCCACAGACTCTCACCCACCCCTCCCAGAATAATCCTCTCGCCTATATCTCAGATATTGAAGCCTTTAAATACTTTGAAGACCCCAAGATGCAGAGAATCCTCTAGCTGTGATCTGTACCCCATGCTACAGAGGAAGGCAAAAAACCTCCAGGGCCTCAGAATGTCTAAATTATGTTAGGGAGAGAACCTATCAGAGTGACCAGTATCTCGTTTTTTATTTTCCTTACTATACTGCTTTTGAATTTTCTGTTTGAGTATGCACCGTATGGTCTAGTACAGGATTTTTAAACTTAGGGTTGCAGCTCACCGAGATAAGCCGCTGGCTGGCCACGAGATAATTTGCTTACCTGAGTGTCCACAGGCATGGAGCCCTGCTGTTTCCAGTGGCTGCAGTTCACTGTTCCCAGCCAATGACAGCTGCAAGAAACAGCACAGGTTGGGCCACATGGGATGATAGTACTTACTCAAACTTTACAAAACACTTTGAATTCTACAAATTCAAGCATGATTGTTATTACTGGGCTGTACGTATACACACATTCACAATCTTTTTGGAAACTTGAGTCCATATATGTATATGTGGGATGGAGTGTATTAACCCTTCACTAAACAGGAGAGTATTAAGGAGCAACTCTGGGCTTAGGAGGCCCCATCCCTCTGGCTGCGCTGAGCATCCTCAGATTGGAGCAGAGTTTTCAATGGTAGCCAGCTCGGTCTGCTTTGACAGGCCAGGGAAAAGGATGTGCTCTGGGAACTCCAGGAGGAGATTTTACCTGATCCCACACCCAGCCAGAGAACTAGGGGGAGAGGCGAGAGGAAGCTGCAGCCAAGACCCAGGCTAGGGCAGGAAGCTAGAAGGCAGTGTCTTCCAGGGATGGATGTTGGTCAGCTGGGATATGAAGAGAGGTAGGAAGTGACCCAGGGAAGCTAATGTGATGCTAATACAAGATATTACAGGATTGTAGAGGACAAAACAGTCTCTCAGCACTCTGGGTGGAGCAGGAGGGCTGGGGTTCTCCTATTGCAGTTGAGAACTACACCTGTAAGGTGGAAGTGCTGCTTGTGAATTGAATCCACTACGTAGGATTGCCACCAAGGACAGTGCCCATTAGACTGAGCCTGCTGTTCAGGAATTGAATCTACCAGGTGGGTTTGCTGCGAAGAGCTGTACCTATTAGGAAAATAAACCACACATGGACTGCACCCACGAGCTGAGATTCTCCTTAAGAACTGTACCCATTAGCTGGAGCAACTGCTTGTGGACTGCATCCATCTGGTGAGAATATCATCAGTGAACACTGGGTGTAATGCCCACCTAGAACCCAAAAGGCTAAGCAGGAGACACTGCCTCCCACCCACAATAGGCCAAATTTGTTTTTCTACTCCATATACTCATAAAACAACTATCAAAGCTATTTTGTATTCAGTTTCAAATTCTAATATGAGGTCATTTTGAATCATTGAAGGGAGGTATTTTTTTCCCCTATAAAAAGCCTGCCTTTCTACCCAGCTGAAAAACTAGTTGCAGGCTTATCCTAGGAAAACTTTATTGTCAAGAGTAAGATTTTATGACAACTAATATACATAATAATAATAATAATTACAATAATGATGATGATAATGTCTTGTTTGAAGATATCAGCTCTTGGATTGATAAACTTGACCATCATCTTGGACTCTGTAAAGACAGGTTCAAGAGAAAACTTAGGTTGAGGTTCTGTTAACAATGGAGGCGGTATGCAGTGTTCCATTATTAACAATGGAGGCAGTATGCAGTGTTCCATTGTTAACAATGGAGGCAATATGCAGATTGTGGCTACTCTGTTTGGAAGAGGCAGGTGCGCAACATCAGGGCAAAAGAGGCAACTGCCCCTGGGCCCAGCGATACAAATGGCCTAGAGCTCCTGTCTGCCGCCGCCGCTACTATGGTGGTAGCGACAGTTGGAGCCCTGGATCCCTTAAATTTCTGATTGATTGCCATGCAGCGCACTTTGGGTAGTACTGAGGGCTGCCTAGCCCTAGCTCTGTCCCTTCTGCCTGAGGTACTGCCTCTTCCAGGACCCCCTCAGCTTGCCTATGGGCCTGGTGAGGCTGTCAGCCCCAGTGATTACAGGCTTTTAGTCTGTTTCCACATTTGAAAAATTAGGAGCAATTCATAAAATTGCTGGTGTGCAACCAATATAGTTAATCTCTTTAAATTTATATAGATAAATATTTCAGCGGGCCTATATCTCTTGGAGGTCTCTCATGCTAGTGGCTTATGCTTATCCTTTAGTAATGAAACAGATACACTTTTAGGTTTTATTACAGAGAGAGCTAGTAGCAACCCCTAGCAATTTTTCTTATAAAAAATTCTTGCAAAAAACTTGGAATAGCTGATATGTTTGATTTATTTGAAAATCTAGGATTGAGGACTGATCAGCAGTCCTGCCTAATGAGGACATCTGTGGTGTTTGTGAAGCCCACAAGTCTTTTGATTCAGCCTAATTATTTCATGATTATTTAACACACACATAGATCTGCTTCTCCTCACTCCTGCGTAAAGGGAGACAGGTATTGTTGTAGATAGTCTAGAAGTGTAGCTTTGGTAGGGTAGCCAGGTGCGTAGTTTTTTACCTGAAAATCCAGTAAAAAAGGGGACCACATGATGTCCTGTCTGATCTATGGATTGGACAAACAAAGACCAGGCACTGTGGCTGAGGCAGCAGTTCATCACCCACACCAGGGCTGTCGCTTACCTGTGTCAGATGGCTGTAGCTTCCAGCTATGTCTCTTCAGGCAAGTCCCTCCTAACCTGGCATGGGATAGAAAGGAATAGCAGTGAGTGACAGGGGAAGGGAGACGGAGGTGCAAAAGGAGTTATGGGAAGGAAAAGGCAAGGCAGGGCAGAGGCTTGGGGAGAAGAGGCAGAGTGCAAGAGGTTCTAGTGATCCTGCTGGAGAGTCTGGTTTTTAAATATTACAAAATTGGCAACCCTATGCGTTGGGCCCAGGTTTTGGTTAACTGACATTAGATTCTGTATACCTGCCAAGTGTCTTTGAGTGTTCCTAGTATACTGTTAGTAACAGAAAGAGGTGTATTGTACTGGCTATATCTAGAATGCCTCTCTGGAAGTTAAGTATTAACATTAAATGTAATACTCTACTACGTTTAGATTGCTTAAAAGAAAGTAATATTTCATCTTATCATCTTAAGCTGTTTTCTTGTGGTGAGTTTGGATTTTCTTTTTAAGGTTAAGCTTACAGAAAAATCTTTAGTTCCTTGCCCCTTCAATTTTCTGCTGTCTGTTTTCCAGGTAGTACAACATGATATTAGTAGCTTCCCAGCATATGCTGTATAGTAATTTAAACCTCCTGCGGTTTGCCTTACAGAGACAGCTAATTACTTCATACAAAACTGTGATTTGTTGTTATGGTTTTCGGACAAAATTATAGCTGAGAGAGAGAGAAACTGTGCATACCAACTGATCATACTGCTAAACTTTGTCATGTCTCTGCAGTGAGACACAGCCCTTGATTTTGATGAATTAAAAACAATTTAACCATTGTATGCTCAGCACTGGCTAATATTATTTTGAATTACTCCACTGAACTTGTGTACCATAGCCTGATCTGTCACTATTGAAATCAGTGGGTGCTTTATTATCGACTATCATGAATGCAGGATCAGTCCTTTTATTATTTAGAGAGACAGAGACAGAGAGACTGGTTTGTATAGGACAGAGTTAGTGATGCTGGAACAGTTTTAGAGTGGGGGTGCTGAGAATCTTTGAACCAAACTGTAAACTCTGAATATAATGGAAACCATTTAAAACCAGGAATACAGCAGCACCCCTTGTTCCAGCACCTAAGCAGAGATTTATATAATAAATTCTTTAAGCATTTGAAAAATAGGAATTATCAAGAAAGGATTTGAGTCCTAGTTATTTTGGAAAGGGACACAGAGGAGAGACATGATAGCCATCTGTAAACATTTAAGAGACGGCTATAAAGAGGGGGACCAATTATTCCCTTTAATTAATGAGCGTATAACTAGAAGTGATGGGCTTAGTCTCCATTAGACAAAATTCTATTTTAAATATTAGAAACAAACATCATAGATTGCAGGCAGGGAATGAAATAGTCACAGCCACAGGAGGTTGTAGAATCAGTGCCACTAGATTCATGGGAAATGAAGGTCATCTGCATGTTTAGGGATCATCGCATCTATTCAGACACACACACATTGGGAGCAGTGCTATCCTAAACAAAATGAGCCTGGGATTATAACTGGAAGATGGTGCGATAGCAAGACAGTGGCTGGATCACTGAGTTTAGAGATTTGGATTCCGGCCTGGCTCTGCCACTGACCCATTTGTTACTCTCTCTTCTTGTAAAATGGAGATAACAAGCCTTACATCCTTTCCTCCTCCCACAGATGTTGTAGGGTTTAATTTTATAACATTTGTGAAGGCTTTGAACCTGTAAAAAGCTGTACCAGTGCTATAGCTAACATGTGTTTGACAGTAATGAAAGGAGAGGTGTGTTTGCTTTCATTTTCTTAACTTTCCTGATCTAGTGTTTCCTGGGAGAAAAATTATGTGTGAAGAGGTCCAGTGTCTAAGGCACAATGTGGCAGGCTCTATTTTGAGAATGACATCTGTTAAAATTAGAGTGAAGGCCAAGTGGATGACCGGTTTGTGTTTTTTCTGTGCCTGCATGCATTAATTTCTGCATAAAACATTGCATTTTTATTATATTTGACCCACACGGGACATTAACACCACAGTAAATAGATTTAGCAAAAAGGCTGTGGAAAAGGAGCAATTGTCTCAGTCCAGAAGATGTGGTGGCTGGTCTCCCCCTGATTCTGGCTTTGTAGCTGAAGCAGAAATACTTATTCTCATATAAGTCTTTTATTAGCAGTGCCTGTTTTTCCAGCATGGGTGCACTCAGGGTGTGTCTTGTCTAAGTGGCGCACATATACATACACGTGTGAAAGTTGGCGTATCTAAAGGGGGGTCAGATTGTGCCATCAAAACAGATGGCTATTTTAAGAACCGGAAAATCATACTTCCCATAGGAAATATGCAAATCATACTTCCCATAGGAGTCCTTGGAGCCTCTTCCAACTTCTTTCTTCTCTGCTGTACCCAGGCTCCTCCATACACATGTGCAGAAAAGGTTGATCTATGTGCCTGGCTCCCCTTTCCCTGGAGTGCTCTACCTATCTGGGCGGGCTAGGAGGAAGTAATCCCCATGTTTCTTTGGCTGCAGAGGCTGCAATTGTGCATGCCCTTGTGTTGGGAGATACAAGGGCTTTCAGGTTTCCTGTCCTCTCCGTGTCCCCTGTACACACCATCTGGTCCATAACTGGCATATCACACTCAAATCAGGTATATGCAATTGCTTGTTTCCATCTTTGAGGATGTAAACGTGATCTGGTCCTGTGTAGAAGAACTCATGCATTGATTTGCAATTCCCACTGTAACATCTGGTCTTAAAAGGACAAATTCATAGGGCCAAATGTATCCCTGTTTTCTGAAATTGATGGACTACACTAGGGATGAATTTGGCCCCATAAATATGAACATTTGGAAAGTGTCACAGCAAAAGGACCCTGTTTACAAAGCAATAGATTTAAATGTGTAATCATGGACTGGATTTCTGATTCTCCAAGAGATAAAAATAACTGACACCTAGCTTACTGAATGAGACCAGCATACCAAGTCATGAGGAAAGGCCTCATGCTGCCTAGAAGAATGCTGAACTCTATATTTCTGCCAGGAACCGGAAGTACTTTAAAAAAACCACAAATGGTTCAAACTTTGTAAATTATTCAGAATAAGTAATGAGTCAGACAAAAATAGCATCAGGAAACTGAGCAAGATAGATAGCAGCTAAGCTTCTACAGGTCTCCAAAATGACACTCTGAGTGCCAAAATAACTGAAGTTTACCAAGAAGTCTAATGGTATGTCTACACTAGTCCCCTACTTCAAACTAGGGAGGCTAATAAGGGCGACCGAAATTGCAAATGAAGCGCGGGATTTAAATATCCTTTAAATAACCTCTTGGAATGAGGTTTACCAGCTAATTCAATTTAATTCAGAATCCCGTTTCACTGACGCATGTAGACAATTCGGAATCCCGTTTCACTGACGCATGTAGACACGGGCAGTTATTTCGGGCTAGTCAATTTCTAAAAAATGGTGACTGGCCGGGAACATGCTAATGAAGCACGGGATATTTAAATCCCGCACTTCATTTGCAATTTCGGTCGCCCTTATTAGCCTCCCTAGATTGAACTAGGGGGGCTAGTGTAGACATACCGTAAGGCACTATGGGCAATATATGTAATTTTATAAAGCCTTTGGCTGCTAAGACCTTTGTCAAGGGACAAGAGAAAACAAATGTAATAATGCAGCTGGTAGATGCCTGCCCACTCCATCTCTGTTTTTCGAGTATTTTCTCTTATTATTGCATTAGTATAATTACTCTGCAATAATCTTGCCGTGATTTTGTAATTATTTGTACTCTGTAGACTCTGCCTGGATTGTTTGTGTACTGCTGTACGTAGAAAATGAGTATAGGCTTTTTTTAAACAGTCCAGAGTGAAATGTACCATGTACCATGAAGCTAGAGAACAAAATAATTTTACTGTTGAGCATTTCTCTTAAAAGCTTTTTCCCAAAATGCTTTACAGATTAAAATAGAGTTTTAAGTAGTAAATAAGAGGAAGAAGAGAGAGGCTAAGCGGAATGTA